GGGCTATAGTCCATGCATTTTGGTCAAAAATCGGCCATTTTTGGTCATTTTGGTGGGCTATAGTCCATGCATTTTGGTCAAAAATCGGCCATTTTTGGTCATTTTGGTGGGCTATAGTCCATGCATTTTGGTCAAAAATCGGCCATTTTTGGTCATTTTGGTGGGCTATAGTCCATGCATTTTGGTCAAAAATCGGCCATTTTTGGTCATTTTGGTGGGCTATAGTCCATGCATTTTGGTCAAAAATCGGCCATTTTTGGTCATTTTGGTGGGCTATAGTCCATGCATTTTGGTCAAAAATCGGCCATTTTTGGTCATTTTGGTGGGCTATAGTCCATGCATTTTGGTCAAAAATCGGCCATTTTTGGTCATTTTGGTGGGCTATAGTCCATGCATTTTGGTCAAAAATCGGCCATTTTTGGTCATTTTGGTGGGCTATAGTCCATGCATTTTGGTCAAAAATCGGCCATTTTTGGTCATTTTGGTGGGCTATAGTCCATGCATTTTGGTCAAAAATCGGCCATTTTTGGTCATTTTGGTGGGCTATAGTCCATGCATTTTGGTCAAAAATCGGCCATTTTTGGTCATTTTGGTGGGCTATAGTCCATGCATTTTGGTCAAAAATAGTCAATTTTTCAGGATTCGCGTTGGATATTTTCGACCTAAAAGCATCACTATCAAAAACAAAAACAATAACAAAACGTTATTACAGAACATGACAACTTGCTTTAATAGATATCGACTTTGTGATATTTTTTGAACATCTAAAGGGTGATATCTGTCTCCTTGGTGTTTTACTTTCTGTTTGATAAGTTTTTGAGTTTGTTTATAGTATCACAGACACTACACTGTTCTCCTGGTTTATGGCAGTTCTTTTCTACTGGTCTGTGTTGAATTTCGTGATCTCGTAAAGTTCTTTCGCATTGAAACGTTTCATCACATAGTGAACACTTGAATGGTTTCCTCGGATCATGTCTTTGTTTCATATTATTCTTTGAAGCTACGAATCTTTGATCGTGAATTAATTTATTCGAGTTAGAACACATGTTCAGCTGATGGACAACGGCCTTATGTCTTATTAAGTGCTTTTTCCAGTTGAACATTTTTTGACAAACTTCACACTCATAAACTTGGAAATTATGCTGCTGTTGATGACCCCAGTCCATGAATTCCTGCGAACACACTTTACAGCGGTGAGGTCCCGTTCTGCCATGCTTATGAGTAAAGTGACTTTTTAAAGTGTGCTCTGTTGTGCATTGTYTTCTACAAATACAGCATATGAAAGGCCTTGACGACCCGTGTACTTGTCTCACGTGCGACTGCAGGCCACGTTCAGTATTGAAGTCTTTAAGGCAGAAATCGCATCTTGGACCACGTCCGCTATTTGTCAGTCTATCAGAAACGGCAGTGTTGTCTACATTATCTCCCTGAGCAGACACGTGATTAGGGTTCTTGTTGTTGGCACTGTATACCTCGTTATGTCTGTGTTTGAACGTMTTAAAGTTACATACTATACAYACAAAGGATCTTTCACCATTAAGGGCTGGTCGGTAGATGGATGATGTTTCATTGATATAACAAACTTTATTACATCTGACGCACTGCAATGGTTTCTTGGCTGGTGTATTCTGGGAAGGGTTGGGTTGTTGTTCGTCGTATTCAGGATCACTTTCATCTGAGATATCCACAACTGGAACATCATCATGGACAAGAACAATCTCCTGGACATCGTCATCAACACTGGCTTTATTATTGCCATCTATACCAGCATTATCAACAATAGCATCGACATCACAAGTAGTACCACTAATACCTCTACCATCACCATCGSCATTATCGATGGAGGCATCTTCMCCACCGTCATCACAACCTCCACCACCGTCGCCAGTATTATTACCATCACCGCCATCATCATCGATATCTGCACCTCTACCATCACCATTATCAATGGAAGCATCTCCATCACCGTCATCACAACCTCCGCTAGCTCCACCACCATCACCAGTATTATTACCACTACTATCGTCATCACCATCATCGTCATCATGACCATCATCAATATCATCACCGTCACCATCATCATCATCGTTTAAGATATCGTTCTCTTGATCACTATCCACATCGTCTGTCGCTAAGTCACGTGCTTGAGGGTCTTGTTCATCGCCATTGCGTTCCTGGATAACACCAAACTCTTCACTAGATAATCTTGACCGGTTCGCTGGCTGGTCTTGTTGTGATGAGGACACGTCGGCAAGGCCTTGTCCCTCATTCAGTGGGTGTTGTCTAGCAGCTTCAACAGTATTCTGAAAATTGTCAATACATTATATATTAATATTATCGTAAAGGTGTTTTGATATTCTATAAATGAAGGCATTTAGCATAGCATTATTAGTTTCAAAATATTAGGGGTTTCATGGAATAAACGCTGGCCCCCCATCACAATGCTCCAGTTTCTATCAATTACATAGTT